TACGGTGCTCTAATGTTGCCCAGCTGCTGAGTTAGTGACGCTCCAAAGTTGCACATGCAGACAAACGAAACCAGCAGTAAGTGGAACGTGGGTCCCTGAAGACCTTTGACTTTTAGGGCCTACATGTATATATATATATGACCTAAACATACAATGTATGCTCATTACTAGACTAAGTAATGAGCACACAGCAGCAGCAACGGCCTTGTCAGGTCCCATAAGCAATTACCTTTAGGCCCAATTCCTATTTCTCTGAGAACCCCCCCAATGAAAATCAAATTTAGTAAATGAGGGGATGATTTGGGTGGCTATTTTCCTTCTCGGCCTTTACTGAGACACATTTCCTCAGGCTGATCTCAGAGCTGCTGTTTTTTCAGAGAAGACTGAGGCAGTCTTGACTTCTTATCGTCATTAAATGTCACACAACAGTATTTGCAAGGGAAGGGGTGTCCTCACTCCTTACTACAAAGCCAGCAATTATATTTTCTAAGTACAAATGGACCATGGATGAGATGATAAGCAGCCGTCCTGCCTCAGCCCAAGATAGGTCAGTATTTTGGGAGCAATCTCCTCTGCGCTGGCTCGATACACACTTTGCAGGGCTGACTTGTATTCCTGCACACTGGGGAAAACAGAGAGTCCTGTTCTAAAGTGTGAGACAAGGATCTTGAGTCCCGCATAGTTGGGGGGAAAGAAAAGAGGTAGTGGCCGAGAGATCCTGAGACCTGAAACAAGGAGCTTTTAGCCACCAGTGGAGGGGAATACCCCACTTAAACTTTGTTTTCTCCTCTGCTCTGCCAAACTTCTCCAAGTAAATCATACTTTATCTCTCAAATAATTTCTGAAAGCAACACAAATTGTATACTTGGTCACGATGTTTTTCTATTTTCAATTGTATTTTATTAAATAAAAAATATTTCCATCTACAGTGAAACAAAACGAAGTTTCCAGTTATTATATGCCTTTGGTTTCTGTCTCCTCTATAAGTACCTTATTTTCTCCAGTCATTTTCAAGATTTCAGGCTAAGATCACCACAGCCTCTTATATCATATTATTTTCCTACCATGAAGTTGTTTATGTGTATTGTTTACCCAACAGACATTTCTCTTTCACTTGGTATATTCATTACTAAATAATTCTGTGAGAAGATACAGGCCACTGATTTTTTTGCAATTTGCATCCCCATACTCTAAGCTATGTTGAAAGCAAAGCTTTTTGGTCCTCTTGCTTTGGAAGTACATTAATATTTCTATGACCTTTACTAGATGGCAGATGAGAAGCATTAGGAATAAAATAACAAACAAACCAAAGGAAACCAATTTTTTAAAATGCATATTTCTGAAAGGAGCAAGAGGGAAAAGAATCTAGTCTAAAAAGATATGAACTTTAGCTAGAGTTATGATAATTGTTCTGTTGTAGCCTATTTTTCCATGTCAAAATGTTTCTTTATGATCAATCCATTCAACAAAATGCAAAAATATATTTGAAGGGGTTTAGTAGCTATGCATACAAAAAATATATAGATATTATTTAGAGATATTTAGAAAGAAATAGAATAGTTTAAGACGTTTATTTACTGTGTACATTGAAGTGATCATATTAAAAGCACAGTCCCTATGCTAACAACTACATTACACAAAATGACTTCAAATCACTTAACTTCCAAAGCGTGCTGCTTATAAAGAGAAATTCTGCGAAACAAGCTGCAAATGTAGTGATATTTTGCATGGTGTAAATGCTCTGCTTTGGAAGACTACACTTTCAGAAGCCTTTAGAAGTCTGTAGAAGGAAAAGCAACTAAATTCTACCCAGGAAACCATTTCTCTCACGGCAGCATTGTTTTTCAGTGGTTTTACTACACACCGGAAGCCAACTCTGTTCCTGTTCATCTAGGTGTTGATGCCATAACTCAAAGGAACAGATCCAAAAATGCTTTTTAGTGACTTGAAATTTGACTGCTTTATGAACACCGTGTATAGATTAACAACATCTATGATTCAGCAAGGCGTTTAACAGATGGAAAGCAGAAGTTGTGCCATGAACCAAAGTATTTGTTCACTGGTTTCCAACTGGAGGCAAAACTGAGATTCTTTAATAGCAACCCTCTTTCATATACTTCATATCATATACTTTATATCACGTGCCACATTATCAAGTGAAAGGATATTCTAGGGGTTTTTTTGTTTCTCTTTAGGATGGTATGGAAGAGTCAGAAAATTTTAAAATAGCAATAACCAGTGCACCATACCATGAATCACATGACTTTAGAAGGGTTCAGATTAAATCAAGTGGTACTATTTATAGGATTGACATGATGGCAAGAGTCCCCTTCTGTCTTCACTACCAAGAGCAATGCTATTGCAGCCAGTACAAACAGGAATAGGCCTTGTATTGATTATGTCACATACCTATTTTTTAATTATCACTTTTTTAAGTTCTTCTGTTTCAATACATGAAAATTTTCTCTCCTTGAGGTTTCAGGGAATACTCTCTTATAATTTTACGATCAAAATATAGATTTGTTAAAATCATAAGAACTTATTAATGGGAAAAACAGTTTGAAAATATGCTTTTTGTTGTTTTAATTAGTTTATTTTAAGTGAAATGAGGGACTTTATAGTTCGGATACAAGCATTTCCCTTCCATTTGCTCTTTAAGCCCAAGAGCTTGTTGCCCTTTGTTCAAGTTTTCAGAGAAACTGAAAGTAACTAGAAACTGACTTTAAAAAATACCTTTCCTCCCCACTGTTTATTTTTTTATACATTTCCTCATCTTGATCTAGCAGTATGGAGAAGTGTAAATCATCCTTACAATTTTTTTTACAATTTTGATTTATCTAGAGGATTTCTAACACACAGCTTTCGCTCATTAGATGTAGAGATTCTGGCTCTTAACCGATCTGTAAAGTCAGAGAAAACCATGCTGAGTTATCCAGCTGAGAACCTGCCCCATTTTAAATATAACTCCCGTCTCCTTAGATTATTGTGCTTTAATTATGTCACGTGTAAAATGTTTTTATACATAAAGCATCCGATCTGAACTTACTCAAGTGATGGCATCTGTCTTTGCAGTCAATATTCTCAGCCCACTGCTGGTTTAAAATGTGATCAGTTTTCATCTGCTAGTTTGAATGGAATTTAAGTTTCTGTTCAAGATACAGCCTGTGATGCTGCACTGCATTGCACAAAGACAGTTCCTACATTCTTACCCAAAGTCAGATCACTCTCTCTGCACTGCAGAGTTGGGGCTCTGAAAGATTTAATTGGAGTCCTCCTCAAGCATATAACAACATAGCCTTTGTAACCAGTAACACATCTGCAAATATTTTTATACGGTACATAATAATTCAATGGGACATAAGAAGCCAAATGTGCAAAAGAGACTGCGTTTTCATCTAAAATACTCACTGACTTGAATACATGTGCAGCTCCAAAATGGACAAGCACAAAAGGCTTGGTTGCATCCTTCCTGTACCTGTACATAGGCTTTAATTTTGCACGTGTACCCGTAAGTTCTAATTTAATGCATATAGAGAAAGTGATTAGATGAGAGCATCTCTTTTAAAAAATCAGGTATCAGTGTTTCGTGCATGATGAAAATACAGAGAGCTAAAAGTGCTGTAGTTTCTGCGTTAGGTCAGACATTTCAAGAACTGGAATATTTCTGCTCCACTTTAGGATAAACAAACTTCTACAGCCTTATTAGGAAAAATGGTATACCTTAGTGTCAGTGCTTGTCTTGCTTAGCTGTCATCTCACATTCCCTAGGGGCTTGTATATCCTGCACGACTGAGATTTGCACAGCAGCATCAGGGATTTAGATGCTCAACTCCCATTATTGTTGCTGAGGATCTAACCCCTTTGTTGAGGGACGTTAGTTCTTTCTGTGGATTTGCTGTCTTCTGGCTCTGTGGTTTATATTCCCTACTTTTCAGTATTTCCAATGAGTCTTCAGTCTGCTCTTGAAAAGGCCTTTCGCCATTGGTACATTTTATAATCCTTCATAGAAAGCCCTTAACTGGATATGGGAAAGCTATTTCTTATAAACGTGTTACACACATACGTACCTCAAAAGCCTACTGGAGAAAAGCAAGCAGGAGAGGTAACAGAGCAGCAATATAGATGATTTGGGTAATACAACTCACCAGAGACCTCAGGACAGAAACTTCTGAGCAAGCTGCCAGGCTGTCCAAATTAGAATAAACTATATTTGGACTATTTTGGCCCCTGGAGCACAGCAGAACTCCTTGAACTGCAAATTCGCATGTGGTCTTCTCTTTCTCAGGGATCCAACTTCCTCGTGATGTCTACACCAACTCCAGAAAACAAAACAGTGCCGAGACAAAGGCTTAAGTACTGGTCCTCCATCTTCCCTATTTAACCGTTTTCAGTTAAGAAACTTAATTCTCTTAAGCATAAGAGAATTTAAGCATGGGTGCAAGCCACACAGTCTTAATTAGCCTCCAGACCAGAGAACAACCTGGCTCCTTTTATTCACTACTACACACAGAGCCAGCACAGACAAAGATTAAAATCTCACTCTGTGACATTTAACCACTTTTGCAAGGCACACTTAGGACAGCTGGTGAGAAGGGCTGCTGCTCTGTAATGATTTCTTAGTTAATAATACATTTACATATGTGTGTCTCCATGTGCGTGTATATACATATATATATATACACACACAAGATGTTTATGTCAATGGATGGAATAGCTACAGCATCATTTTCTACCTTAGTTAACAAGGCAATCCAGTACAGAAAGCAAGTTTCAAGCCTTTGACTTATGACTCCTCTTGTTTTTAATATGGTTTTAACTGTCAGTGCTAGTAAGTCATAAATATGAGAATAATGTAATAAGGACTACCACAAACACCCACTTCTATGCTATTTTATTTTTGTTCCGTATTTAAAGTATCCACACATCTTCACACATTTCCTTCCTCCTCACTGTCAGACACCGAGGCTCTCATTTATGCAGGTAAAAAGGATTGACACTTTCTAAACTGTAAGTGTTTCTCGTTCTCTCTTGTTGAAAGAATTCTGAGGACTAACTGGAGTCACCATTTGAGAAAAAGGTCGCTGGTGATTATACTGAGACACGCTTCTGTGTTTTGCTATGTATCTGCAGTCACAAAAAGACAGAGAAAAAAAGACTTCTAAAATGTGTTCTCATATTGCTAAACATTCCCTCTTCTTCCCTCTCACTGCATTCTTCAAAAACAGTTATGCACATTGGCCTCAGAGAGTATTAATAATTAGCAATATTCCATAGTATTAAAATCAGCCCCCTTAAGAACAATGGTGGCAAATTTTCTTAAGAGTTTTAAATCTTACTTTCTGGGTATATGCAACGTGCTGAAAGACAGATCCCTACAGCAGCTGTAAGAAAGGTATGTTCTGCCTCTTGCCTCTTTTCAGCCTTTCTTGGACACACACAGTTGCTTCACAACTAACCTGCACACTGTGGAGAACTGCCATGAGCATGCTGAATGCATTCAAGCACTTAAGGCCCTGTGGTGCCTGGAGGGCTAACTCTGGTGAAGCTGGAGGTTTGGCTTTCAGGCCTAGAAAAAACATTTTGCTGGCACCATGACCTGCGTGCTTTAGATTCCCAGTCCTCGTGGTACAGAATACTGGGATGGGGATTAGAAAATATGCTGGGGACTGTCTGGGAGGGAACAATTTATGCTATACTTCTGATATTCTTCTAATCTTTTACGGGAAAAGGCACTATAAATAATCTTATATCTACAGCCTAAGTTGGTGTAGCCCCTCTGCTGCAAAACACCTAATCAAAAGCAGGGCTGACACAGAACTGACCACAGAGTCTTATGTTCACTCACTCTCCAAACAAAAAGTATTTTCTTCTGACCCAAAGATCCTTTTTGAAATCTCTAAAGCAACTTGCTGAAAAGGTGCAATCCGTCTCTCTAAAATCAAACTAAATCCAGTACTACCTTATATTAACTATGGCAAGACAAACACATTTCTACACAGCTCGTGGTGCAAATGGATTTGTGTTTGCTGGGTAGCAATGGACAGTTCATTTAAACACAAAACAAAACACAAAACAACACATAAAACATTTCTTCCTATGCAAAAGCTAAACAATGCTGCCAGAATTTAATTGCACTAAAGGACTTCAAAACCTAATTTTCTGACTTCACCTTGGGATTACCTGGAAATAACAATACAATAAAAATGCATCAATAAAGCTTGACATATTAAAATACTATTCATATTTGAAGATCAAGAAACCATATTTCTTCTTTTCTATATCCTATACAATCCTGTTGAGTTCAGAATGCTTAAAACAAGTATAAAGGATTTTGCCCCACATACTGTGGAAGCTCCATGCGATAGAAATACAGTGCAGAAGTGGTTGCATGCTGCCTGGTCTATCTGATATTGCTGATAGTTTTGACAGGAACATTTATTAGACCATGTTAGCAGTAGACAAGAGACTCCCTCTGATACCCATAGTTGTCTTCAGGAGGCTGACTGTGTATTGTAGACGTGTCAAACAAAGCAGCTATAAAAACATCTACCACATGCAATCACTTGCTACTCTGAGAAATTATTACAGTCATGGCTTGAGAATGATCAAAGAGAGAAAAAAAGGGGTCACCATTTTAAAAACAGTAAGAATGAGATCATGTCCTACATGAAAAGCATGTGGAAGTGAATTGGGGTAGTCTGACCTCAAATTCCAGGAATAACCTCTCTTCTCTTCACCTCTCCACTACAGTCTAGCTTGAGCGGTGATTACTGAAATCAGCAGGACTTTTATCATTTATTTTACAAAGGGAAGGAATGAAACGTTAAACATCTCTCTTTTATGGGCATTACTAACTAATGTTGGGGGGAGATTCCCAGCATCCCTAATAGTTTTACATAGTAGTTTCACAGAGGCCTACGATCCTCCATCTTAAGTCAGTGAACACTATCTTACTCCACAAGTAGCCCCAGAGAAAGTAAAATAGGACTGTTACAATTTTGCAACCAGTGGTTCTACCCTCAGGGGAATGTACCACGCAGCTCAGAAAAAGGGTGGTAAAACCTGGTCTACAATGTCTGGGTATGATTATGCTTGCTATCTGTTTCCTACACACTCTTCTTCAAAAGTCAGGGGATTCCGTCCTGGTTCTGGAAAGTCTCCATTAGCACAGAGTGAGAACCCTGTTCTTGCTATCCACTAAAAACTAAGAAAATTCATCGACTATGAACTACACCCACAGTAACACCTGTAGAAAGTAAAAGGAAGTAAAAGATGTGTTTTCCTTTCTTAGATCACAGTGGCGCCTGTCTTTTTGCTCTTGAAATCGTGTATCTGTCTGAAGTCTGTCAATGATCTTTGCTAAGATGCACTTGTCTTTTTATTTGTCTGTGACATTTACAAGCAAGTTAGTCTTGCATCAGGCTGCTCTGAGTTCAGCTTTATTAGCCTGTAGACTCAGGACTCCATTGCGTATTTTCATTCCCTGTCAACAGCAAACTGCAACTACAGGTGACTGCCTATTTTCTAAGTATAACCACAAGAGAAAAAGAGCAGAGGTGAACGGATGGAGGGCAGCAGAAATGGAAGTCAGTGCATTTTGCACAACGACAAAACACTTGACGAGGTGAATTCTTTAAAAGCCAGGCAGCTCCCTAAAGCTCCTCATGCCTTTTCTGGATACTTTTCACTGGCAGTGCTGAAAAAGAAGTGTGATGTGCTGTGAACAGAATTCTAAGGCCAATTAAATAGTTTAATGGAAGATAAAGGTCTCGGGAAAACATGGAAACTTGGGATAGTGTCACCATGTCATAGATCATCATGGGTAACAAGAAATCAGAATCTAAAGCACAAAATCATAAAGGAGAGAGGGGAAACAAATAGTTATTAAGCTATGCTGAAGCTACCGGGAGAAAGGCTAGGTTGGTCCTTTGCCAATGTCAGAAGCTCTTTGTGTAAACAAAAGGAAAACAGGTTTTCAGCTGTTCTGAGGTGTCCAGCTCTTTTGAAACCACCAAGAGTTAGACACCTAAATACTTACACTGGCCCATAGTTTTAACAAGCCTTGTATGGAAGAGCAAGAGAGAATAAAGATTATTCACTCACTTCATGAGGTAGCCATAGTCACAGGGTCCTGGGCTGCATCGGTGTGGGACATGGCATGATTTTGCCTCTCACTGCCTTCTGAGTAAACCCACCCATTTTTAACAACTATTTTTGTATAGCAAATACCCATTTTGTAAGTCTGCCAACACCACTTTGGAAACACAACACCACACATTTTTCTTTTGGGAATTTTTAACTTCAACATTCATGGGCCTCTTCCAAAACACACACAGATCAATCAATCAAAAAAACCAGTCACTTGAGCCATGACTTAGTGACCATAGCTAAAGAAAAGATTTCTCAGTGTAGAAATAATCCACATTTAGAAATCATGATTTACCTCAGTGTTAAGGTACCTTCCCAATACATACCTTATGATGTTCAAAAAAAATTCTAAAACCTCAAAAGGATTTCAGATTAGCATGACAATAATGTGGTGGGATCCAACCCCAAATGTTCTGTATTTTTTAAGCCAATGGAATGTCATGCTTAACATTTAATTGTTCTTTAACTAAATAAATGCAATTAGGATTTTCCCCGTAATCTTTCTGAACAAGCTGAGAAATATACCTCATACCTGTCCATGCATTCATGCAATTATTGATGGGGTTGTTGATGGAAGATTAGAATTTGCCGGGTGGGTTGCTGAGCAATGAACCTTGCCAGTGTATCCAGGGATATTTGGAGTGCTAAAGGAAAAAGTTAAAGGGGGCATGGAGAAAGAGTAAATTAAATGACTATAGGCTTGAAATATGACTTACAGATCAGTTCTAAAACAGCTAGTGTTTATCAAAGATGGATGGGGTAAAAACTCTTCATAATATAATGAGTAGTCCTTAGAATGTATGAACTGGCATAGCTTCTTTAAGATCATCGAAACAACTTTACGATGATCTAGCTGATGATCTGACCCAAAATCTTTGGTTAGACATGGCAAAAGTGAGTTCTTTAGTGACTTTTCCTTTCTGCCCCC